AGCGTGCGGTGCCAGTCCTGTGCCGGGAGGTCTGGTTCAGGGCTGCGGGGCTGGGCCTGAGTCTGCATGGCACCGCGAGCCTCCCCGGCCATCCTTCCAGGATTTCTCTGCTGCGTTCCTGCAGTGAGAGTTATGTGTTCACGGTCAGGCTCCGGCTCCACACACATTTCTCTGGGCCTGCTGTGTGAGAAGCAGGGACGTTGGTTAACGTCACAGCCTCCTCTGTAAGCTCCTCCGAAAACTTAGCAGGTCGGCGTGCGTCTCTCCACTGGACCCATGAGGAAGCTGTAGCTCGGAGCAGTGGGGTGACGAGCCGGTGGTCACACAGCTGTCAGAGGTAGAGGCCCCCGCGTGTCCCAGGGAGAATCGCTCCAAGGTTCTGTAACCTGTGGGGTGTCGAAGCCTAGTCACTCCTGCCACCATCCCTACGCCGTCCTGGCCACATTGCACATGTAGGAAGCCCTTCCCTTACATTGCCCCGCACCCCCCACCACCTGTGCGTCTGACATGCCTCTAGGAGGGGTAGCATTTGTCTGGTGAGTGGTCAAAGGGTCCCCTCCTTGGACTCACAGCTGGGGGACCCCCTCTGAAGAGCGTTGGTGGCACGGGGCAGGTGAGGAGCGGAGTGTAAGTGGGGAAGTCAATTCTGGAGAGTGGTCTGACCCCTGAAATACGGCACGCCTGCCCTCCCCACACTAATCTAGACCCCATTATCTTCCTCAGGAGTATCGTCAGACATCGGAGGAGGGACATTAGGAGACTTGGCTGTCACTGGGTGTGTGCATTGGTCAGCAGCAGCGTCCTCACTTGCGTGGGGACGTGGCCGCTGGGGAGAGGCAGGGCTTTCAAAGCTCGGCCTGCTTCCGGGGGCAGCGTGTCTCTGCTCTGCAGACACAGAATGAACCTGTGAACGTTTTAACTAGGACACAGGGAGGGGAGCATGTGCCGACTGGCACAGAACAGCTCGGCCTTGTGGTTGATGATATTGATGGAGCCCAGGTCACTCCCTGGCAGCCGAGTCCAGAATGTGCATTTGTCCATCCGTGGGCCCCAGTAGAAGAGCAGACCCCCCAAACGTTGGTTATTCGGAGAGGGGAACAAACTTTCCATGCGAGGGTCGTCTCAGAAGCTGAGCAGCCAGACTATTGATGGAGGTTTAGATGGCATGTCCCTCCGTGCTCTCCAGGGACCAGGTGTCGTGGCTGTCCCCAGACACGGGGCCTCATCGCTGTGCTGGGTGCCTGCAGCTTATTAGGAGGGACGTGCGGGAAAGGGGAGGGGGCCGTCACCCTACTCCTGGGACTTAAAGCTCCTCATCATCTTCCTGTCAGTAGCCAACTAAATAATGAAGGACTCTGTTGGCCCCCTCTGGCTCCGTGGGAAGGAGTGTCATGATTGACTAGCGATGTCTGCTCTGGGCGAGGGAGGGATCGTGTGCCATCTATCTGCAGTCTTCTAGAACACGGGAGCGCTGTCTGAGCCAAGGAGAAGTCAGTGTGGCCAGAGGGAGCAGGGCATGATGATAAAGGCCATACGCTTCCAGGCCACTTGTTAGCTGTCGATGCCAACGGCTGGGTGACAACCATGTCATCATGCGTGCCTCCTGTGGTCAACTTGTTATGGCCACCTGAGCATGAAAAGTCATGTCCGTGAAAAAACATGGTATTTCAGTCCCAGCGTCTGCCACAGGCCTGGACTGCAGCAGTGCTATCTTTCTGACCCTGCTGTCACCTCTAGGGGGACACAGGGTTTCTTTCCATCATGCCACCCCACGGGTAGGGATGAAATGCCCTTTGGGAGTCCCTGGGCTGCTCTGAGCTGAGGACTAGGAGTCCGATCGCTTAGAGGAAGGGCCTGACCTCCCTTCCTGGGTCACACACACCACTGAGGGTGTGAGAATATGGCCCAGGGTGGTGTTGCGGGCGGGCTGCCTTTTATATTAAAACAAAGCTGTGTTACGGAGTAGAATGAAATATTTAGAAATAATGTAAACAATAAAAACAATGTAAAGAATTTAAAAAGTTTTAAAAGCTCCCATAAGCACAGAGTACAAACATGAAATGTGTGCCCTGAGGCCAGTCAGCTACTGAGATTCCGGGGTCACGTTCTCTCTTTTGTCGTGTGGTCAGCAAGCGGGAAGGACCCGAGGAGAGAGGCTGGAGGCCAAAGCCGTTGGCACCAGATCTGTCCCCATCTAAGAGGACACTGTCCTTCTGTGTTGCCCTTGGAGTAAGTTTTCCAGGCACTCCACCTGGAGGGCTGGCAGCATCCCAGCCCTGGGCACAGCAGGTGCCCCCCGCCCCGGAATGTCCAGCCACAAGGGCAAGTGCTCGGGACAGGAACCCTGCAGTTGGGGGGGGGGGGTGAGGAGGGGACAGGAGCAGACTGCGAGAGGGAGGGACATGAGGACTTTGTAAACCACCCACTGTGTGCTCAGCTCTCTCATGTACGCAGCCGTCAGCCCAGCAAAGAAGGCATTCATTCCCTAGGTTTATAAACGGGGAACCTGAGCTCAGAAGGAGTTAGGGGCTCCCATGCAGAGAGAGACCAGTTACAGAAAGACCACTCCTGCAGCCCCAAACGTGAATTCTCTCCCTTCCCCTCAGCCTCTCAAAGTGGAATTGCTAATCATAGTTAAATGCAGCTTCCCTCCTGCCCTCCCACCTTTCTGTCTGTCTGTTTCTGAGAACTGACTTCTCCTCAGGTGACAGGTAGGTGCAGCACAGGTGATCAAATCCGGCGACCCGGGTTTGGGAGCTGCCAGCTCTCCTACCCTGAACTAACCTTGGGGTCATTCAAATTGCTTCTCTGATCATGAGTTTCCTCGTAAGAACATGGGGATAAGAATTGTGACCGGGGATTCAGTCACAGCCCGTATAAAAAGCTTATTACCACATAGTAAGTGACTGACACACGGAACGGACTTAGGCATCCATTCTCGCGGGGCTTACAGATGAGGGGACTGCAGCTCCAAAGGGCAACTCGCTTAAGGCCATCTGACCAGGGGCAGAGGCAGGACTAAGTGCTGATCTGCCGGCTGCTGCAAACGCCAGCGTTCTTCCTCCCCTGTGGGCACAAGCTCACCCACCAACTCTCACAGGGCTGGTCTTGCGTCGTCGAGAAACGCACCGCCTCCCCTTAGCCAGCTCCCTGATCCTAGGAAGGCTGTAGTGCACTTTAGGAATAGTTCCTTCCAAAACAATTGAAGTATTTGGAAACATCGGCACTCAATGTTTTAATGTGAACCTCGGTTATCTACGACATTCATGGCCGTGGACCAGTTCCACAGCATTCAATGCCAAGACTGAGTGCGTTATGGCCAGAGCTTGTTATAAGCACTGACCTCAGAGTCTTGGCACCTTGACAATTTTATAAACACCCTTCTTTCTATTGTGGCCGGACAGGATAATTTAAGGACATTTTCCTTAATATCATTTCATTTTCCATTTAAATCATGGAAACGCTGTCGAGTTTGAATGCTACGACACACGAACCACCTTAGGGCTGCAGATTTTGATCTGTGCTGGGACGGTGTGGCCTGGTCATCTAAATATCGCTTTGCAGAAAAATTAACTAGCAAGGCAGTATATTCAGAATGGCTGCCTGTTTCATCAACCCACAAAGGAAATAAACGGGAAAGATGGGGTCCTCTAAACCACTGTGTATGAACAGTTATTGAGCGTCTAGACAAACTGTTTTTCCCCCAAGCTAATTAACGTCCATGCTGTTTGAAAAGCTCCTTATTCCACCATAACCTGGTTTGTTTTAAATTTACATCTTCAGTGGCTAATGGCTAGAAATTTGCTGTGATGTTCTAGATGCATCTGAGTTCAGAGACACATTCCATTCCATGCATTCATTACTTGTAGGTCGTTCAGAAATAAAAAAAAATACAGCTGGAAAAAGCGATTGGGCAATTAATCGTTTGGAATGAGCATCTATGAATGCAAAGCTTACATAGAACAAACGAGCAGCCTGCCCCCAATTTCCCTTTTGGATAAATGTGAAGTCGTTGGTTTCAGAACCGTTTTTTTCTGGGCAAGTTTTTCTGCACAGTTTTCCCTCCGACGTGTCCTCAGAGGTGGTCCGTGTCTTAGGCTGAACCATCTGTGAAAATGTAGTCTTAAGCCAAATCCGATTTGTAAATCACATCCAAGGCCTTGGATGTTCGGCTTTATGATGTCCTGAACCCACTTGGAAGGTCCAAAGCCTCATGAGACCTTACTCAGCATCTAGTGAGAACCGCCTTGGTCTTTCCTAACTGTCTTTCCCTTTCAGAACTTCCCCTGTGGGCAACAGACTATTATAAAATTCAGTTCTATCACACGTTCCCCCAAATAGCAGCACCCAAGCAGGCCCTTACACTATTGGAAAGGTTGTGTTAAGCTTTTCGCCCCAGATCAGAACACAGCCCCAGCCGAGACCTGACATTTGGGAAGGCTGCCACCGAGAGAACTTTTTCCAGAAGCTACCTCAATGGTGACCTTCATTGGCTGCACAGAGAAATCGGTTCTGTCACTGCCAGCCACAGGAAGGGACTGCATTTTAAGCGCTGAACTTGACGAGACGGAATTTCTAACTTTGATTCAGTGTCAGCTCACGCTGCTCAGACCCCTCAGTGGCAGGGGGGGCGGAGCACCCCCAAATGGAGAGGCGATGGCAGAACAGCGAGCGTGACAGTGCCTGAACACAGCACCACACTCCCCAGGTGTAGCGATCCGGGGCGCTGCAGCGCGGGACGGCGCGGCTCCCCCAAGCAGCCCAGGGCTGCGGCGACCTGCTGGCCTTCCCCCCGACCCAGGCGCACCCGGGCGCAGCGCCACCGAGGAGGAGGGGTCCCAGCCTGGGTGGCCACGCGGGTTCCATCGTGGCGGCGGCGGGGAGCAACAGACCCCATGCCCGCGGTCGGGGTCCCCCTGTGCGCCGCCCTCGCAGCGCCGAGGATGCTGCGCCCCAGCCCGCAGACGCCTGGCGGGTTCCGGGCGCCCCCGCATCCTTACCTGGCGAGGCCGGTCCCCTGCGCTCTCGGGGCCCTGGCTGGCTGGCTGGCTGGCTGCCGCGCGCTGCTCGGCCGGGGTCGCAGGGGGTTGCGCACAGGGTGGGCGCGGGGCTGCCAGGGGCTGCCAGGCCCGGCTCGGCTCGGCGGGCAGCGGCCGGGCTGCGGCTGAGTCAGCGCCCCGGCGGTGCGGGCGAGCCGGGGCCAGCCGCCGAGAGGGGGCTCTGAGCGGAGCGGCGGCCGGCCTGGCATTTTAAAGGCGAGGCAGCTGGATGCCGTTCAAGCGGAAACGCAGGAGAAACTTCACCCCCGGGCAGAGCGTGGGCAGCGCGGGGAGGGGGCCGGGAGCCCCTCGCAGGCGCGCAGGCCAATCTGTGCTTTTCTGATGTGCTCTTGTAAAAGCAGTTCCCTTCAGAGGTTTCCTCCAAGGAAAAGCAGACGCCGCTCTCCAAGCCTCCGCCCGCATTATGCTCAATAGCGAGACAGACATTTCCACTAAGTTAGGAAAAGACCAGGAGGCCGCTTTGGGAAGTCTGGTCAGCGCAGCCAGACGAGGGAAGAAAACGGTGTCAGGGTGCTGAAGCCGCGCCTTTGTCAAACCAACACGCGCCTTTGCCTTTTTAAAAATCGGAAAGCAAGGGGAAGACGATTACTGTTTGCAGCAGATAAACATACAAAAGTCACAGTGTTCCTAGGCTTGCCGCCCCGTTAGAAATGTGAATGAAAAAAATCCCTTTGTCACTAACAGCAAAACCATAAATAAACAGGAATAAGCTTTCCAGGGAATATGCTCTACTCTGTAAAAAAAAAAAAAAAAAAAAAAAAAGAAAAAGAAAGAAAGAAAGAAAGAAAAATACTCCTCGTCTCTACAGGGGAGCTGATGAGGACTTAAATGGATGGAGACAGGACCCTTACACCCGGACAAGAAGGACCCTGTAACGGAATCAGCCTCTTCATCTGTAAACGCAGCAGTCTGCCTCGGATTCCAAGCAGAAGTTTCTTTTTACCCTGACACAGTGGTTCCAGGGCTCGTGTGGAATAATAACGAGCAAACAGTCAACAGACTGATGATTTAAGAGGAGTGTGAGGGGTGGTAGCCCACTGGATAGTAAAGTGAAGGACTTTTATGTATTCACACGTGGTGAATAAACACCACCTGAGTGCTTCATATGTGTCCGTGCATTTAATTCCTGTGTGACAGCTGTGTGACGCACATACTCAGACTGCTGTCACTTACAGGTAAAGAAACGCACATCACAGGCAAAGTCACACAGCTGGACGCGGGGGTCAGGTATGGGATGCAGGCATCTGTGCCCAAACCTTCGTCACTGACGCCGCCCACTGACCTTATCACAAAGCACTAGCAATCGAAACAGCATGTTACCAGCCCAGAGACGACAGACAGCTCAGCGCAGTAGGACCAAGAGCCCCCCATTAGAAGAACATAAGAAAGTGTGCTGTTTAAGAGCTTCTTCAAGTTCATAGAAGAGATGGATTTTCCCACAAAATGATTTTGGAATAACTGGACGGTAATCAGTGAGAGCTGATTGGCTACCCAGTTCCCCAGACCAAAATAAATTCCAAATCCATTGAATACTGAATGGCAAAGAGGGAAGCCAAAAAAAAAATAATTGGATGACTATTGGGTGAATATGTGTTATAATATAAACCTGGGATTGTGACAGTCGTTCTAAATACGTCGCGGAACCGTACAGGAAAAGACGGGCAGATCTGATTATAAAAAAACCTGAACAAGTTTAGTTATGAAAAGAGACACCATAAACATAGTTAAAAGGTAAATGACAAACTGGAAAAAAATATTTGCTATATGATTTATATTTATTTTTAAGTATTCAGGGAAAAAAAAAGAAAACATAATCTTGCGGGAGGGAGTCCCAATTTATGAATCAGTCCTTCAGCATCTTCTCAAGCTCGTTTCTCTCGGCACATTCTCAGCGCCCAGATCCCAGGCCTGGAGGTTCTTGCGAGTTCTCAGCCCTGGTCGGTCAATCCCAGGCTGCCGTGTTCACCTCCCGCCTGCCCCCTAGCGGAACGAGGAGGGCAGTGCGCAGGGCCAAGCCGCGGGGTGGGGGTCGGGGGGAGCCCCCGGCTGTGACAGGGCACTGAGAACCTGCTAAGTCCTAGCCATCCTCTTAGTCACGTTGTTAAGGGCTGAGAGGGCCTTGAAGGCCACCGGGAAGTTTCCTTTACTGTAAAGTTAAGATACACTGTACGTTTCTTAAACCCAGTTAGACATTATTTGACGTTTTCTGTATACTGGCAGCCTTAAAAAAAAAAATTTGGTTTGAACCCTTGTCAACAATGAGAGACCTTAGCAATTTATATTAATCAGTCATCAAGTATTCAGATATTCATGGAACACCCACTGGGTGCAAATATGAACAAGACATAAATTATGCAAATTAGACATTTCAGTCATTTAAAAATAATTTCGTACCCATATGGGCCCTGTTGTTTTAAGTTTCAACCAAATGATACAACTTGTCACTGGCCGTCATGCTGTTTCACTTCCCTGTGAGCTGCAGCAGCCAGGAGTTGTTTAAAGGGCAAGATGGGGCCTCCATCTGCTGGTGGGAGCCCCTGGCTCTCTCCATCTTCCTTCCTTCCTTCCTCCTTCCTTCTTTCCTTCCTTCCATCCTTTGATCCACCCATCCACCCATCCTTCCCTCCATCCATCCATCCATCCATCTATCCATCTTTCATCCATCATCCATCCCTCCATCCATCCCTCCATCC